CTCAGCCTCCTGAGTAGCTGGGATTACAGGCACGCGCCACCATGCCCAGCTAATTTTTTGTATTTTTAGTAGAGACGGGGTTTCACCATGTTGACCAGGATGGTCTCGATCTCCTGACCTCGTGATCCACCCGCCTCGGCCTCCCAAAGTGCTGGGATTACAGGCTTGAGCCACCGCGCCCGGCCTTAAATTTTTTAATTTTGACATAGTTTTGACAAATTTCTATGAAGTAGTTCACTGGTAGTGTCATGAGGTTGCATTGTATCTGTAGATTATTTTGTGTAATAGAAATATTTAACTATTAATAATGCCAGTTCATGAATAATTATTTTATTATGTATTAATTTATATCTTTTATTGTAAAATGTATTCTTGTTATAACCAATATGAAATCTCACCAATATGATTTATTTTATGGAAAGAAAAGTTTGAAGTGTTGTCAAAAGCATTTGTCACATCTTTCTACTTTGCAGAGTTTCTCTCCAGTATGAATTATCTCATGTCTTTTAGGAACTGAGGACTAGTTAAAGGCTTTGCCATATTTTTCACACTTACAGGGTTTCTCTCCAGTGTGGATTTTCTTATGTTTAGTAAGATATGAATACTGGCTAAAGGTTTTGTCACATTCTTCACATCTGTATAGTTTCTCTGCTGTATGAATTCTCCTATGTCTAGTAAGGCATGAGGATAGGGTAAAGCCTTTGCCACATTTTTCACATTTGTGGGATTTCTCTCCAGTATGAATTATTTTATGAGTAGTAAGGTGTGATGACCGTTTAAAACCTTTGCCACATTCTTCACATTTGTAGGGTCTCTCTCCACTATGAATTATTCTATGAAGAGTAAGGTGTGATGACTGTTTAAAATCTTTGCCACATTCTTCACATTTGTAGGGTTTCTCTCCTGTGTGAATTTTCTTATGTCTAGTAAGGTGTGCATGTCGGTTAAAAGCTCTGCCACATTCTTGACATCCGTAGGGTTTCTCTCCAGTGTGAATTCTCTTATGTGTAGTAAGGTGTGAAGGTAGGGTAAACACTTTGCCACATTCTTCGCATTTGTAGGGTTTCTCTCCGGTATGAAATTTCTTATGATTAGTAAGGCTTAAGGACTGTTTAAAAGCTTTGCCACATTCTTCACATTTGTAGGGTTTCTCTCCGGTATGAATTATCTTATGTTTAGTAAGGTGTGAGGACCGGCTAAAAGCTTTGCCACATTCTTCACATTTGTAAAGTTTCTCTCCAGTATGAATTACCTTATGTCTACTAAGAGCTGAGGAATGCTTAAAAGCCTTTCCACAATTTTCACATTTGTAAAATTTCTCTGCAGTATGAACTCTTCTATGTATAGTAAGGGTTGAGACCCAGGAAAAGGCTTTGCCACATTCTTCACATTTGTAGGGTTTCTCTCCCGTATGAATTCTCTTATGTTTAGCAAGGTGTGCGTGTCGGTTAAAAGCTCTGCCACATTCTTGACATCTGTAGGGTTTCTCTCCAGTGTGAATTCTCTTATGTTTAATAAGGTATGAAGATAGGGTAAAGGCTTTGCCACATTCTTCGCATTTGTAGGGTTTCTCTCCAGTATGAAATTTCTTATGATTGGTAAGGTTTAAGGATTGTTTAAAAGCTTTGCCACATTCTTCACATTTGTAAGGTTTCTCTCCAGTATGAATTATCTTATGTCTACTAAGAGTTGAGGAATGCTTAAAAGCCTTTCCACAATTTTCACATTTGTAAAATTTCTCTGCAGTATGAACTCTTCGGTGTGTACTAAGGGTTGAGACCCAGGAAAAGGCTTTGCCACATTCTTCACATTTGTAGGGTTTCTCTCCCGTATGAATTCTTTTATGATTAGTAAGGTGTGAGTACCAGTTAAAAGCTTTTCCACATTCCTCACACTGGTAAGCATTCTCTCTAATATGAACTTGTTTATGTTGACTTAGGTGTAAAAGCATGCAAAATGATTTGCCACATTTTTTACATTTGAAAGGTTTCTTTCCAGTAGGTCTTGTCTTCTGTCTATTTGAATTTAAGAATTTATGAAAGACTTTCACACGTTTATCACAGTGAAGTATTTTGCTTCTGTTAGTTTTCAAACACTGGTTTAGTTCATTATAACTTTCTTTGTGCACATTAAACTTATTCACTCTTTTACAGCCTTTTCTTAACTGTAAATCCTTATGTCCACATTTTCCATTTTCTCTCAGTATTACTTTTTGAAAAGAATCTTTTATTCCCAGCCTTGGCCAAAGGTCTTGGCCAAAATGAGAACATAGAACTGAAAGAAACAAATATAACAAATTACTTCACTTACTAGGCTCAGATAAATATAGGTTACAATTCTAAGCTGTAACATTATAAAAACTACATAAGATAGTATACAAAAATACAAGAGGCCCTAGTTGTTTTTTTTTTTTTTTTTTTTGAGACGGAGTTTCACTCATGTTACCCAGGCCGGAGTGCAATGGCTTGATCTCGGCTCACCGCAACCGCCGCCTCCTGGGTTCAGACAATTCTCCTGCCTCAGCCTCCTGAGTAGCTGGGACTACAGGCATGCGCCACCATGCCTAGCTGATTTTTTTTATTTTTAGTAGAGACGGGGTTTCACCATGTTGACCAGGATGGTCTCGATTTCTTGACCTCGTGATCCACCTGCCTCGGCCTCCCAAAGTGCTGGGATTACAGGCTTGAGCCACCGCGCCCGGCCGATGCCCTAGTTTTTCATAGACATTTATATGTAACAAAAACTAACCAAAATACATCTGAGAAGAAATGATAAATGAGCTAAGTGTTTCAAGTGCCCCAAGTGAGCACTAAAGCCACATAAAAGGAGGAAATAAAAGGAGGGGAGGAGTTTGTTACGTTTACCCAGCACTAGTCTTAATTTTTTTTTTCTGTTCCCTGCCCCTCCCACCACAGTCCCTTAAGTTTTTTTTTTTTTTTT